TATAACCCCAACCATTCAGGAGGCTGAGGCAGGAGAATCGCTTGAACCTGGGAGGCAGAGGTTGCAGTGAGTCGAGATCACGTCATTGCACTCTAGCCTGGGCAACAGAGTAAGACTCCATCTCAAAAAAAAAAAAAAAGAAAAAGAAAAAGAAATTATAGGAGACATGGAGGAATCTTAAATGCATATTACTAAGTAAAAGAAGTCAACCTGAAAAGGCTATGCAATATGATTCCAACTATACGACATTCTGGAAAAGGCAAAACTAAAGAGACAGTGAAAAAGATCAGCACTTCCCAGGGGTCGGGGAGGGGAAGAGGGATGGACAGATGGAGCACAGAGGATTTCTAGGGCAGTAAAACTACTGTGTACACTATAATGGTAGATACATGCCATTATAAATTTATTAAAACCCGTAAGACTGTTTAACACTAAGAACGAATCCTAAAGTAAACTATGGACTAGGTGATAATGATGTGTCAATGGAGGTTCATCTGTGTAACAAATGCACCACTCTGGTGGGGGATGCTGACAATGGGAAGGCTAGGCATGCGTGGGGACAGCAGGCATATGAGAAATCTCTGTATCTTCCACTCAATTTTCCTGTGAACCTAAAACTGTTCTAAACATTAAGATCTATTTTAAAAAACACTATAAAATGCTATGATGACAATTATATATAATTAGCCTATGAGAAGACAACAAAATTTTAACAGTGATTTGTGTCATGATTATGGGACTATTTTCTCTTTTTCTTTTATCTAAAATTGTAAAGACTTTTTTCACACTTAAAATATTTTTAATTGACCACTGAGGAAAAATTTTAAACCAATCTTATTCTAATTTATATTATTCCTTTCCAACTCAGTACTTAGTTAAAACAACGGATCTTCCTCATTGATTTTTCTGTTTTTGACTAGAATTTTTCTCATGTTGGAATCAAAACCATTTTTGGCTTCCAACATTAAGTCTGTTTTTAAATATCTTAGGTAAATAATTCGGAAATCAAGCTGGCAGAACACAGGGTCATTTTGTAAGGTATACGTTTCTAAAACCAACAGAGTACTCCAGACTGGCTTTGGCAAGTTCCCAAACTTTCTAAGAAAGGACCCTATAGGTAACACCTATTTATTCCCAGGTTCCTCACCTTCCTCCACATTTCTTTACCTTAGCAATCCACCCAGCACCTTCTGCTCCACATTCTCCTGTATTTCCTCATAAAGCAGCGCTTCTTCCATTCAACCAGTTCCTTGTCCCCATATATCATTCATTGATTCAACATTCACTAAGCACTCTATTTTTATAGAGAGATATTAAAAATGAAGAGAACCAGCTTCCGCTCCCTGGAGCTCACAATCTAGTAAGGGGGAAAGATCTTCAAAACAAGTGACTGCTATACAATGGACGTCAGCACACTTTTTCTGTAAAGGGCCAGACAGTATATACTTTCAGCTTTGCAGGCCATAGTCTCTGTGGCAGCTATTCAGCCCTGTCACTGTAGCACGAAAGTGGCCATTGATATAATGTAAATGAATGAGAGTGGCTGTGTTCCAGTAAAATTTATTTTTACAAAAACAGGCAGTGGGCCAGATTTGGCCTGTGTGCTATTGTAACCCGTGGTATACAGCATACTAAATAACATCCCTAGAGCTGAGAGAGCTTGAGAAAGACCTGCCAGACTGCCTGCCCTTTTACAAGGAATAGCCATCAAACCTTAACTGGACAGCCAAACCAAGCTATAAGAATTCTCCTTGAAACTGGTGGAGCAGTAATGAATTTTCCCCCTAAAAGTCACTGAATTGGTTGCTCAAAAATACCAGTTCTCACCCACAGTTTTCAGACAGACATAGCTGCAGAATGTGTTGCAATTAATCTATTATTACAGTAGAGTTACTGGTTGGTTAATACAGTACTGGTTTTCAAATTTTGTCTTCAACACTTAGAAAAGGGTAGATCAACTTGGGGACACATGGACAGAAAGACTGGAACAACAGCCACTAGGGACTTGAAAAGGAGGAAGGGAGGGAGGCAGTCAAGGGCTGGAAAACCTTCCTATTGGGTACTATGTTCACTCTCTAGGTAATGGGATCAATAGAAGCCCAAAGCTCAGCATCATGCAATATGCCCTTGCAACAAACCTGCATATGAACACGTGTGTACCTCCTAAATCTAAAATTAAAAAAAAAAAAGGAAGAGATCAATTTTATCGCTAAAGCATCCCCGTGGAAGTCTGTCAGCCTGAAACTGTGTACCACCCCAAGTGTGCCTGCAGAAGCAAACAGTCCATGTACATACTGTCAGCCCTGTATGTTTGCATCAGAAGGGATCTTAGAGACCACTGAGTCCAGCCTTCTTCATCTGGATAACAAACTCACTCTTTAGCTAACAACTCAAACATGTCAGGTGTGAATCAGTCACAGTCTCACTGATATGGATCAAACATACATGAAGTCAAACAAGAGGAAACAGAGGAGACAGTTAAGGAAGGGCAGAAGGAAGTAAGATAAGACCTCCTCCAACCAAGCTGGATAATCTGCTCAGATAGATGCCTTTCCTTTTAAATTCTTCACTGTTGTTCATCATAGAAAAACGTGAAAATGTATGAAAATAAAAAGAAAAAATAAACGCCCAATATTATCAAGGGGTAACAACTATTGTTAACAATTTGGTTCTTTTCCCTTTAAATCATTTTTCTACATATATTAGAAAAAATTGTTTTTCATTAAATTGCTTTCTCCTTTATTCATGAAATGCTTTGACATACTTCCCCATATTCTTTAATATGGCTCAAAAGTATGATTTTATAATATCTATATTAAAAGTTTACCAAATGGATGGACCATAATTTATTTTAAATTTCTCCCATTATCAGATATTTAGATCATCTCCTTATTTTTTATAACATTAAAAGTTGAAAATAATACTGTGGGAGCTTATAAACCTACTTAAATACAATGTTGTCTATTAGTCACTTGAAAGCAAGTAGTTCTCCAAAACAGAGTAATACCTGGGGCACTGTAGGTCAAGGCAGAGTACGCATTAGTGACCACAGGAAGAAGCATACTCCTTAGGTGTAGGCATGGGGGTACTGGACCCATGTCATCATCCCCAGCTTACTGGACAATTAGCCATCTGAGTCCTTGAACTTCTCTACTAAAAACAGATCAGATAGTAGAGTCAATCAATATCACAACTGGGACCCAAGGGCAATGGTAGCACAAGACCGAGCTCTGACTGCTTTTTCTGCAACAACCAGCAAAGAAAAAGTATTGTGGCTTGACTGCTATTACTAAACTTGGGTCAGCCTGGGCAACATGGTGAGATCTCCTTTCTACAAAAAATTTTAAAAATTAGCCAGACATAGTGGCATGCGCCTGTAGTCCCGGCTACACAGGAGGGTGAGGTGGGAGGAAAACCTGAGCCCGGGGAAGTGGAGTCTACAGTTAGGTGTGATCACGCCACTACACTCCCACCTGGTCAACACAGTGAGATCCTATCTCAAAAAAAAATTGTGTAGGAGAAAGGATGATAAATAGCTGTGACAGATGTTTCATGTATAGCATTTACTGAATTTGTGGGATATTCCTTCTGAAATAGAAGGTCAACTAATTGGTCTTTCTCCCAAGGGCATCTGGAGGAGGAGGGTTCTCTTCCACGTATTTTTTTCTGCTGGGCACAATGGCCAGAATGTCATAACAAATGGATATGGATGCCAGCCAGGCAACAGCAATAGTATGCTTCCCAAAGTAGCCTGGGGGCTGTGAAACCTCAAGAGTTTCTATTAGTAGAACCCAGATATACCTCGCTTAGTTTAACTGCCAATCAGAAAATTAAAACAAATTAATAATCTAGTTCATACCATTTATAATGCTGGAAAGCCTCCTTCCTAGAATAAATGGATTGCCTAAAGCAAGCCAGAGGAAGAGGAATATAACTTACTAGAAGGGGAGAGTTTCAATTGCCCTCTTGAGTTACATACACACAAAAAAGCTCCAGTTTAGATCTCAGTTTCCAAATTAAAGATCTGAGGTGAAAGGAACATATTTGTGTTTGCCTAACATAACACATAAAATCCAGTAAAATTAAGTCTGAGCCAGTCAACATAATAAAACAATGTTATTCTTTTATGGCCGGGCACAGTGGCTCACATCTGTAATCCCAGCACTTTGGGAGGCCGAAGTGGGTGGATCACCTGAGGTCAGGAGTTTGAGACCAGCCTGGACAACATGGTGAAATCCTGTCTTTATTAAAAATACAAAACAATTAGCTGGGTGTGGTGGCAAGCACCTGTAATCCCAGTTAGTCGGGAGGTTGAGGCAGGAGAAACACTTGGAGCCAGGAGGCGGAGGTTGCAGTGAGCCGAGATCGTACCAGCCTGGGCGACAGAGCAAGACTCCATCTCAAAAAAAAAAAAATTCATTTAATTAAAATGAGAAAAGGAACATTCCTAATTAAACTCCGTGACTAACACTGTGTTTGTCCATGGATATTTGTGAAAGAAATTGCTTTTCAAACCTAACTTTCCCAGAGTTTTCTAGGATAATTCATATTTTGAAAACAAACAGAAAAACAAAACAAGCACAAAGTAATAAGGACAACTTTCTCACCCCTCTCCTGCAATGTGTATCTGTTTGACAGAGATTTGCACGAAGAAGCACAAACTCTTCTTTTTGTGTTTTTGCCAAAAGAACTTTGGACATGCAAAGAGAAAAGGACAAGGACCAAAGAAGTGCCTTTCAACACTACTAGAAGAATCAAGTTACAGGTCAATTTGTCACATGTGGGAAGTAATCACTGTCACTCCTTATTCAGAACACTGGAAGTAGCTGAAGTCAATGCTTCAATACAATAACACAAGGTGGCCAACAAACTCATGTAAAACACCACATGTCACTAGTCACAGTATCTGATTACAAACAATCCCTACAGGCCCATATGGGAGTATGTCAAGAGTACGTCAAGTTTACTGGAAAGTGTTAGGACACAGCATGCGCACTTACCTTACCAGTGCGTCTGGTTTGCTTAGCTGGTTATTAGGAATACAGTTTTCCATTAAGTCCTTGTGTGTACTTGGGCTCTTGCTAGTGCATTTCTGCTTCTTCTCATTTTTACTAGATGAGGAAGGAATGCTCCCATTTGTGGCGCTATGACTTCGAGGTGAGGAGTTCACAACTCCACTGGCATTTTTGTAATTTTTTGAGGAAGCAGTGCATGAGTCCTCTTTCAAGAGATTTTCTGTACTTCCCACAAGATCATTATTTAATCTTTTACTATTGATATGGTTTTCCATATACTCAATCTCTTGTATTTTAGAGTCTACAGGTTGTAGAATATTGTTGTTATTTATTCCAAGGTTGTGTTTTTTGGCATCCTTGTCCTTTTCTTTTCCTTTTTCTCGGTATTCTATCTCTGGCAAAGTTGTGGAGAGTTTTTTGTTGGCTGGGATACCTCCGTTGTGGTGTATAAGGATCGAAGAATCCATATCAGGTAATCCTTTGGCTGCTACAATACCAAAAACAAACCAACAAACAAAAAGCCCACACCGGAGTATTTAGTTTTTTAACAACACAGATTAATTCAACAAATTATTATCTACACTTAAGAAATTCACATTAGTTTGCACACTCATTTAGAAGTAATAACCACAGTACATTACGCTAATCAAGAAGAAAATCCTCATAATTTACTAGAAGATGTAGGAAGAAAAACAGAAGAAAATCCAAATACATTTAAGAAACTCCACATTTAGAAAATCGCCATCATTTATGAAAATGATGGCCATTAAAGGTCTAGTCTTGAAAACAAGATCAGGGTTTTATAATTAGGGCACACTTTGTGTATTAGTCAAATCAAACTCACCTATCATTGAGGTGAGAGGACAAAGGCAGATCCTAAGAAGTCATATTTTTTAAGTACCTGGAGTAAATGAACTGCTAATAACTTTACTGAAAAGAAAGAGGTTAAATGAAACAAAAGAAGAGGAATAATTTTAGGATACAGGACATCTATCCTTTTTCTGGACTCTAGTGTTGAGGTAATAAGGAAGTCTGTATCCTTCACCAGATCACTCAGAAAGAATTTTGTGTATCAGGTCTACACATTCCAATTTATTAAAATCTACTTGAAGAGATATTTTTGTACCACATCAGACAAAAAGATAATTTTGAAATATATAAAAACACGACCTCAAACTTTCAACTCTCAAACCAATGGAAACCAGTTACTGCCAATTATCTATTTCTATTGGTCAAATGCCCATGAGAGAGATTCCATCAGAAATGGTTCAATTTAAAATCTGCATTACATTATACGAAGCATTTAGAATACGACCTATCCATCTTGGCTCTATTCAGAAGACATCTGGCTTCTAAAGTTCAATTCTACATGTCTACATCTCCATTGTGCTTATACTTTGATTCTTGACTTGCTTCAATTACCAATTCACATAGTTTCATACTATTTTGTTGCTAAGAATATATATTTTAAAATACGTAAAACAGGCTGGGCAAAATGGCTTATGCCTGTAATCCCTGTACTTTAGGAGGTGGAGGTGGGAAGATTGCTTGAGATCAGGAATTCAAGACCAGCCAGAACAACACAATGAGACCTCATCTCTACAAAAAAATAATTTTAAAAAATTAGCCAGGCATAGTGGCATGTGCTTATGGTAGCAGCTGTTCAGGAGGCTGAGGAGGGAGCATTACTTTGCTCCCAGGAGTTTGAGGCTGCAGTGTGCCATAACTGTTAGCGCTGCACTCCGGCTTAGGCAACAGAGTGAGACCCTCCCTGTCTCAAAAAACTAAATTAAAAAAAAAAATCAGAATTAAATTATAAAAAAGATATAAATATATTTTAAAATAATAAAATAAACATATTTAAACACATAGTCTTCAGACAGTATGTAAAAAACTTCATTCACAATCTGTATTTCATTGACCAAACAAAACAATGACCCTGAGGAGAAACACTATTAGACAGAAAAAACAAAATCCTCGCTACTTTTCCAGAAAAGAAAATTCTACCAAGAGACAAAATAATGACTAGCCTATTAAGCCAACAGCTTTAGGGTAAAGACCTACCTTCCTCGGCCTCTTTTTCTTGCTTTTGTAGCATCTGTTGCTCTGGAGGGAGAGCTTGTTGAAGAAGTTGCATGTAAAACTCATTCTCTTTTTGTACTTCTTTTTGCTTCCTTAACCGCATTTTGTAGCTTACGTAACTTTTGAAGCCAAAGCCCAAAGTTACCACAGGGTACCCAATACTAGAAAGAAGACAATCCAGCCAGTAATTGCAGGTTTAAAATGAACCATGTGTGTCTCAAGCACATGAGAATACCTATGGCTTAAAATTTAAAGATAAATTCTAATTGATGATGGTAGTTGAGAATAGCATTCACTAGACACACAAATAAATGTAATGTCCACTGTGGAAATCAGAAGCAACTGGCACACAGAACAAAACCCCCAGGAACAACAGGACTGCTAGACCATAAGAGGACACTTCCCATTAGACTTTGGCATTCTTCAAATTAATTCAAGGAGTCACCACAGTTGACTGTCAGATACAGTGGCTAATCCCTTGAAGAAATACTGAAGAACTACCTTATGCATTAGAACTTAGGCATCTATTTGCACCCTTTTTTTTTTTTTTGAAACAGAGTCTCGCTCTGTTGCCCAGGCTGGAGTACAGTGGCGCGATCTCGGCTCACTGCAACCTCCTCCTCCCAGGTTCAAGTGAGTCTCCTGCCTCTGCCTCCCGAGTAGCTGGGACTATAGGCCAGCGCCACCATGCCCAGCTAAGTTTTGTATTTTTAGTAGAGACAGGGTTTCACCATGTTGGCCAGGATGGTCTTGATCTCTCCACCTGGTGATCCATCCACCTTGGCCTCCCAAAATGCTGGGATTACAGGTGTGAGCCACCACGCCTGGCCTGTATGCTTTTGAAAACTAAAAGGGTAGAGACTTTATGCATAGCCAAAAGTAAACATGTTAAAAAAAAAAAAATCACAAGAACATCATTTGATTTTTAATACTAGAAGGCAGGGTCAAATTCAGGTGACTACTTTAACTTAATCTTCTTGCTGCCTGACGGGTACTGCCACCAGCTATTCCTTGAAGATTGGTTCATAAACACTCTGCCATATATAAATTCTGTCATACATAAATTCAAGAATCATTTAAATAAGTATCTGATATGATCAGTGCCAACATTTGGTTTGTATCACCAAATTAAACCAGCTGTACTTAGAACTCTAATCTCTGGGATAGAAAGTTAAATATTTTCATTGAACTTATCAGCCTGCCTAACAACATTTCAAAGCCTCTGCAAACACTGTCAAGCCCATATAGGTTTCACTAACATGAAAATGTATCAATTTATAATTAGTCTAAATGTGGTCTCACTACAAACTTATGGTGACATGTTTTTTGACCAAGTTCATTTAATTTGTTTGTAAAAAGACTAAAAATACTGGAAACAGTATTTTTTTTAGTTGATTACTGTTTATTTTGGTTTCTGCCATAAATATTAGTAAAAATTGGTGTGTTTAGGAGAAACATACATTAGGTGGTAAGTTCCACAATAGATATAAATAAGAATCAAGCTCATTTTTCAAAAATGTTTCATGGTTAAGATGAATAATTAATTAATAATATCTTAATATTCATTAGCATGTTGTAAAGAGAAATAATATTCATTCAAAAATTATTAATAATATTATCTTACTTTTATAAATAGGCTAAGGAAATTCTGAATTATTTTAGGTTTCATGCAATAGCCATATATTTCATCAAGACCTTCTGGAATCTTTACCTGATTATAATAAACATAGCTAACATTCATCAGACACCTATGTGCTTGGCATTAAGTTGAATACTTTAGATGTATCACTTCAGTTCCTTTTTCCCATGACCCAGAGAGGCAGGTAAGAAAACCATGGCTTAGAGGCAATGACACACACAAGGCAACACAGCTGTCAGGGGACAGAGCTGGGATTCACCCATCTGCCTGAAAAGGGGGCTCATGCTCTTTCCAACCATGCTGTACTGCTTTCTGGGTCCATGTAAACTTTCTAAGAATAAATTTACAGTTGAACTTAACATTCTACAGTGAAATGAATTATAGATAAAGAATATAATACTGGCTGGGTGCGGTGGCTCACGCCTATAATCCCAGCACTTTGGGAGGCCAAGGCAGGTGGATTACTTGAGGTCAGGAGTTCGAGACCAGCCTGGCTAATATGATGAAACCCTGTCTCTACTAAAAATACAAAAATTAGCCAGGCATGGTAGCATGCGCCTGTAATCCCAGCTACTTGGGAGACTGAGGCAGGAAAATCGCTTGAAGCCGGGAGGCAGAGGTTGCATAACCAAGATCAAGCCACTGTATTCCAGCCTGGGTGACAGAGCGGGACTCCGTCTAAAAAAAAATATATATATACACACACACACACACACACACACACACACATATATACACACACACACACACACCACACAATTTATGTAATACTTACCAGTGAGCAGCAAATGGACGACAAAGGTCTACATGAAAGTTTTTGAGATCTTTAAATCTAATGGCTGCTTCAATATAAACAAAGAGGATCCAGAGAGACACTGTAGGCAAACACACTCCCCTTTCTGTGGGAAAGCAGCAGAGAGGCAAGCATGAATGAATGATACAGTAACTAACAGATGGATTGTTTGGGAGACTAATTCAACGACAGTAACTTTCATTAAGATCTTCACCTAAACTAAATTAAAAGGCAAACTGATCCAAACGGAAAGCTTTTATATGACAAATGATTCCACAGAATCACTGACAAAAATAAAAGACAAACATCCTGGCAAAAAATATTTACAATGTATGTAAAACAAAGGATTCATAGCCCTGACATACAAAGAGCTCCCACAAATCAATAAAAGGTAACTGAAGAAAATAATTTACAAGTCGCAAAATAAGAACTATAGATGGCTAAAAAACATACAAAAAGATGTTAACTATTGATTAGAGAAATACAAATTAAAACAATCAGATTCCATTTTCTTAACTATTAGATAAAATTCTTAAAGACAGATAATAGCATAGGGAGGGTATGGGGAAAGGTTCATTTTCATACTTGGCAATAATATAAATTGGGGCAACTATTTTAGATGGCAATTTGGCATTTAAATGTAAATACTTGTAGCTTTCCTTTACCCAGAAATTCCACTTCATTTTTTTTTTTTTTTTTTGAGACTGAATCTCGCTCTGTTGCCCAGGCTGGAGTGCAGTGGCGCGATCTCGGCTCACTGTAAGCTCTGCCTCTCGGGTTCAAGCAATTCTCCTGCCTCAACCTCACGAATAGCTGGGACTACAGGCGCCTGCCACCGCGACCGGCTAATTTTTTGTATTTTTAGTAGAGAGGGGGTTTCACCGTGTTAGCCAGGATGGTCTTGATCTGCTGACCTCGTGATCCGCCCGCCTCGGCCTCCCAAAGTGCTGGGATTACAGGCGTGAGCCACCACACCCGGCCCAGA